CACTCCCTTCTGGCTTGTAGAATTTCTGCTGAGAAATCAGCTGTTAACCTTATGGGAGTTCCCCTGTATGTTGTCATTTTTCCCTTGTTGCTTTTAATAATTTTTCTTTGTCTTTAATTTTTGTCAGTTTGATTACTGTGTGCCTTGGCATGTTTCTCCTTGGGTTTATCCTGCCTGGGACTCTCTGTGCTTCCTGGACTTGGGTGGCTATTTCCTTTCCCATGTTAGGGAAGTTTTCAACTATAATCTCTTCAAATATTTTCTCAGGTCCTTTCTCTCTCTCTTCTCCTCCTGGCACCCCTATAATGTTAATGTTGGTGTGTTTAATGTTGTCCCGGAGGTCTCTTAGGCTGTCTTCATTTTTTTTCATTCTTTTTTCTTTATTCTATTCCATGGCAGTGAATTCCACCATTCTGTCTTCCAGGTCACTTATCCGTTCTTCTGCCTCAGTTATTCTGCTATTGATTCCTTCTAGTGTAGTTTTCATTTCAGTTATTGTATTGTTCATTTTGTTTGAACTTCTAGTTCTTTGTTAAACATTTCTTGCATCTTCTTGATTTTTGCCTCCATTCTTTTTCCAAGGTCCTGGCTCATCTTCACTATCATTATTCTGAATTCTTTTTCTGAAAGGTTGCCTATGTCCACTTCCTTTAGTTGTTTTTCTGGAATTTTATCTTGTTCCTTCATCTGGTACATAGTCCTCTGCCTTTTCATTTTGTCTATCTTTCTGTGAATGTGGTTTTTGTTCCACATGCTGTAGAACTGTTCATCTTGCTTCTGCTGTCTGCCCTCTCTATTTTTTATTTTTTAATTAATTTATTTATTTTTGGCTGCATTGCTGCATGTGGGCTTTCTCTAGTTGCGGCGAGTGGGGGTTATTCTTTGTTACGGTGCGCAGGCTTCTCATTGCGGTGGCTTCTCTTGTTGCAGAGCACAGGTTCTAAGCATGCGGGCTTCAGTAGTTGTGGCATGTGGGCTCAGTAGTTGTGGCTTGTGGGCTCTAGAGCAGAGGCTCAGTAGTTGTGGCGCACGGGCTTAGTTGCTTCACGGCATGTGGGATCTTCCCAGACCAGGACTCAAACCTATGTTGCCTGCATTGGCAGGCAGATTTTTTTTTCATTTAAACATAATTTTAAAATAGAACAGCATAGAGATAGAAACTATTTATATATTTTCCAATGCCTCTTGTGCCTCAGCAAGGTTCATGCAAGGGCTGTCCTCCCAACAGTTTCCTGAATTCTGTATTTTCACCATTAAATTCCACAATAAAGTTGGAAATCCATTCACTGTTTTTAAATACATACTGATGTATTTAATAGAACGGCATGGACTATATCTTTTTCCTTCCTGAATCCCAGCATTAAGTACGGTGCCTACCATGGGCCAGGTTCTCACTACTTGAATGACACATAAATAGCCGAGACCGGCAAGTGTTTTCTGGGTGGGCTTGACAGAATTTCCGTACTTGCTGGGGTCACCATGAAATCCATGGTCTTCAGCTTTGCGTTTTTAGCAATGTAGCTTTATCACGTTATCCTCAGGTGAGTAGTGAGACCCTTGGGAGCTGATTCATGGCAGGGTGGCTTTGTAACGTGTCACCTTGACTAGGCTATGTTTCCCAGTACTCCCTTCCTCGTACGCTTCCGGTTAGGATGGGCCACAAGAGACATTTTGCGTGATAACTGGAGGGCAGCAGTGAAGCAGCAGTGCACTCGGAAGGTTGGCGACGTGGCACCAGACACTGTTGCAGTTCACATATGTCATTTGTCTGCTGGCTCACCTCGTTGGTGTGGGGCAGCAGTCAGGCCTGCAGCTGCTTCACCTTCCCCAGGATCTTCCTTCGGCTTCTCTAATTCCTGGCCCAGATGCGTATTTAACTCTGTGATGAAGGGCACCAGCTTCTTCTGCAGGAAACCCCCATCATCGAAGTTAGGGGTGGTGAGAGGCTGACATGGGTTCTGGGCCATCCGCATGGTCTCCAGCTTGTACTCGTGGGTGCCAGTGTGTCCTCGGTCTCCCACTCTTTACATCCGTCTTCCCTTTCCGATTGCCTGTCCTTGGCAAACATACTGCTGTGTCCCGGAGGCGGGTTCCACCCAGGCTGAAAATCTCCATGATCACGGGTGTGCCAGCCCCTCCTACCTCCTCGTCTGGGGCCAAGTCAGAGGTGCAGTCATCCTTGTTTTCCTCAGGGTCAGGTGGCTTTTGCTTCACAGGTGGCAGGCCAAGGGTGGCTTCAGGGTCTGACCCAGACAGGGCCTTCGGGTAGAGCCAGGCCTGTTTCGACGCGGGTAAGGTGTGGGTGGCCCTGTGCCATCCTCGGACCCTGGCAGGCAGATTCATAACCACTGTGCCACCAGTGAACTCCCCAGACTAAGACATCATGCTGGAAATGGATAGCATCGGCCGTGGAATGTGCAAAAACTCTTTATGTGACGATGGGTAATCCCTTCCTAGAACCTGCGTGGCAGGTGTCACCTGTCTACATGGGGAAACTGCAGATACGTGAGTGGCCTCTTGTCACTTCGTGGTGAGTGGTAAGTTCAAGTCAAAATACTATTCTGTCAAAATCCAGTCAGTGAAGCACCTGACATCTGCAGGGAATTGTTAAAATGCAGATAATGGGTAATCGTTTCTGGATGCACTGCCCCACACTCATTACTCCCCTGTCCCGAAGCCGCATCTCAGCCACCAAGGCCCAGCGACGAGTGGGTCTGGGTTTTTTTCCCCCAGACACCAAATCCATGGTATCTCCACCAACACCAACCAACTCTCCGACACCCACTGGGCATCCCCCAAGTAGATTCCCTTCTGACATTAAATCCCCAGAGTTAGACTAGAGCCCACAGGCGGAAGACTCTGTGCCACAAAACTGCCCCACTTCAAGGGCCAGCCACAAACCCGTCCCGCCCTCTGCAGCTCCTCACCCAGCTGTGCGCCCGCTTGACACTAGGCTGGGCTTGCTCCTGGGGCTTCTGGGCATTGAGCCAGCTCCCTTCTCCTTGACCCTGGAAGTGGAGCACAGGGTGTGTGTGTGTGTGTGTGTGTGTGTGTGTGTGTGTGTGTGTGTGTGTGTGTGTGTGTGTGTGTG